AAATAAATAAATAAATAATTCCCAGCATCACAATATATGGAGTGGTGGGTGGAGAAGAGGAACGCAGCAGCAGGCAGTAGCAAACGTTTCCCCATCCACCGCTGGTTGCTTTGACTTCTGCCTAACCAAATACAGTGGTCACTAGCTATCACTGGACAAGGCCACAAATGTTTAGAACCACTTACTTGCAAATCTTTGTTGCTGCTGGAGTAGTGGCTACCCCATAGTAATTGAATGAGACAGGAGCTGTAGCCTTTAAAGGGTTTCGATGAAACCAGTGAGTCATTTTCCAGACAACTTCCTGCAGGATTAAATATACAGCAAGCCTAAAGCAGTGAAGATGAAATTACAGTTACATAATAATATAACTGCATGGTATCAAGTCAATTCTAACATACGGCAACCCTTTCCAGGGTTTTCTAGACAGAGAACAGACAGACGTGGTTTACCACTCCCTTCGTCCAGGGGTACACTGGGACTGCACAGCTTACCTAAGGCCAAATAGGCTGGCTCTTCTCCGAGGAGGCACAGTGGAGAATTGAACTCCTAACCTATGCCTCTGAAGCCAGATATACAGGTGCTGAACTATCCAGCCAGCAAACAGTTACATACATAACAAAAAACTTCATGTAAAAATTAAGCACCTTGTTGCTTAAAAAAGAATTCCTTCATAACTACAGCAAAAGACTGAGGTTACAATCTTAAACACATTTCCTAGGTAATAACCCCATTAAATGTACCAAGATACAGTATACATCTCTGTAGACATAGAGGGTTGTGGTGTATGAAACGTTACTGTATATTTATAGTCAGTATGAGACATAATGTCCACCATTGTAATGCTTGACTCTGAACACATGACTAATGCAGCACAGATGCTACAAGAAGGGATGAGATGGCTATAATTAAATCAATGGACACATCTGTAAAAACCTTATGACTTTTTGTATGTAATACATTAACCCCAGATTTCATAAACTATTGACTATAATTGCTTTAAATTACAACGAATATAATTACAGTACCTCAAATTACTGTAATGGGCTACTTGTCAATGACCTTTTTCTAGAGGCTAGAAATGCATGACACTTACGTATGTATCCCCACCACCTAGGTTTGCACAATAGAAACTCTATTAAGGGAGCAATTATTATCAAAGGAGCTATTATTAACTAATATTTTGCATTTGTGAGGTAACTCTAGTACACACAAGAATTTTCATTTAGTGTGGGAATGCTTACTTGAACTGGTTAAGCTTGGATATTACAGAGCAGAAACACCCTTATTTTTGTTTTAACACTCCATTTCACACAAGCAGATTTATTTTTGACAGACTAGCATAATTTTTTAAAAACTAGTAGGCCTTTTACCTGTGAGTAAGTTGATTGCTTGAGGTATTGCTGTATCTCTCCTAAACTAGAATAAATTCCACAATTTTATGTACAGTTTTTCTTTGGCAAAGTTAGTGGAGCAGCTCTTACAAAACAGTTCTCCCAGAGTGCATTCACAAAGAGTGCCTTTACAATGAGAAATTACTTCTCTCCTCTTTTAATAGACTATTGGAATCAGGGATCATTGGCCTTGCAAATAAACTGTTTCCGGGCTTTCCTCAATGGCTGACAACAGAAAATACAGTTTGGGGAGACTGTTTTGACTCTGTGGGTTCTCAGTTGTGGAGTCCTACAAGGGTCGATCATTCCCCAATGCAATTTAACATTTATAAGACTACTGAGAGGTCATCAGGAGATCTGGAGCCTCATGTCATCAACATGCAGATGATACACAGCTCTATCTCTCCTTTAAATCATCTGCAGCAGATGCTGTCTAGTGCCTTAGAGGGGTGCCTCACCACAGCACTGGATGGGACCAGGAAGAACAGACTGAGGCTGAACCCAGACAAGACAGAGATCATGTTGCTGGGGTGGGGGTGTCCATCAACCTACCTGGGTGGATATCACCCCTGGGCTTGATGGATTTACCCTTCCATTGAAGGATCATATGTGCAGCTTGAGTGTTGTTTGAGATCCAGTGCTGAGCATGGAAAATCTCCGCTGTGACACATACTGGTTTTTTTCAAACTTTGGCAAATAGCCCAACTATGCCCCATCTGGATGCTAGATCCCTACCAATACTGGTTCATGCTGGTGGTCCCAAAATTGACTACTGTAAGGCACTCTACATGGGGCTTTCCTTGAGGCTAATGCAGAAGCTTCAAGAGGTCCAATTAGTGCCAGCCAGACTTACTGGTGAGGTGAAGAAATTTGATCTTATCACCCCAAGTCTGGCTTGAATGCAATGGTTTCCTTGCCAAGTTCAAGGTGCTGATTTTAACATACAAAGCCCTAAAGGGTCTGGGACCTCATTATTTGTCAAGTTCAACTGCCTGTCTGACCAGGTCCTCACACACATTGGCCCTGCGAATATTAACACCTTAAGAGACCTGGAAAATGTCAACCAGAAGCTGGGCCTTCTCAGCTATAACATTTTCTTTGAGGAATACATTGCCATAGGAGCTACATCAGGTCCTCCCCCCAGTCTTCAAAAAGTAGGTAAAAGAAGAGCTTTTAAAGGAAGCCTTTGGGGAGATTCTCCCCAAATGATTAAATTAGTGGAGGATTAAATTAGTGGAGGATTCTTTGCATATCAATAAATAGGTTTTTTTTACCGCCTGCCTTGTTGCTGCCTGTTTTGGAGAAGACGCTAAGTGTATTACAATTAGTCTCATATAAATTGTGTTTTTATTCCTGTCATACAACACTCAGAGCAGCAATATGCTATATGAGTAGTATAAAATTGAATAAATAAATAAATAATTGATGATTACTTCATTGATCTGTTTTAGAAGGTTAAGGAATTTGCATTGATTCCATGGAACCCAAAGTGGTACTTGACTGAATTGACTGACAGATCCTGCATAAATGTATATAAAACAATACAGTACTCTTGTCTAAATGCAGAGTGGAAGAGAAACTGAATAAGCACTCCTCTCCATTCCAGCATGCTCTTTGTCATGTGCCTGATTTCACATTGTTGCAAATTCAGTCATGGAACAGGAACTTTGCCAGGGGAGGGGGGTACTTATGTGATTTCCCTTCCAGTCTGCATTTAGGTACAAGATACTAGCCTATGAACCAGAGGTCAGGAACTTGTGGCTTGCAGTTACTACTGAACTGCAAGTTCTATCATTCCTAATCTTTGACCATTTTGTCTGGGACTAATGGGATTTCCCCCTTCATGGGTTGCTGCCTTGTCGTGACAAAGGGGCTTGAGTAATTCAGAGAAGCTATGGGCTCTGCCATGCAGGGACACCCAAGATGGACAGGTCATAGTGGAGAGTTCTGACTAACCGTGATCCAACTGGAGCAGGAACTGGCAAGCCACTCCGGTATCTTTGCCAAGAAAACTCCATGGACAGAAACAAAAGGCTAAAAGATATGACACTGGAAGATGAGCCCCTCAGGTTGGAAGGCGTCCAAGATGCTACTGAGGAAGAGCGTAGGACAAGTAAAAGTAGCTCCAGAGCTAGTGAAGTGGTTGGGCCAAAGCCGAAAGGACGCTCAGCTGTGGACGCACCAGGAAGTGAAAGGAAAGTCCGATGCTGCAAAGAAAAATACTGCGTAGGAACCTGGAATGTAAGATCTATGAACCTTGGTGAGCTGGATGTGGTCAAACAGGAGATGGCAAGAATAAACATTGACATCCTGGGAGTCAGTGAACTAAAATGAATGGGAATGGTCGAATTCAATTCAGACGATTATCATATCTACTATGGTGGCCAAGAATTTCTGAGAAGAAATGGAGTAGCCCTCATAGCCAACAAAAGAGTGGGAAAAGCTGTACTGGGATACAATCTCAAAAATGATTGTATCCCAGTACAATCTGCTTCTTGGGAGGGAAGCAATGACAAACCTAGACACATCTTAAAAAGCAGACATCACTTTGCCAACAAAGGTCTGCATAGTCAAAGCTATAGTTTTTCCAGTAGTGATGTATGGAAGTGATAGCTGGACCATAAAGAAGGCTGACCGCTGAAGAATTGATGCTTTTGAATTGTGGTGCTGGAGGAGACTCTTGAGAGCCCCCTGGACTGCAAAGAGAACAATCCTATCCATTTTGAAAGAAATCAAGCCTGAGTGCTAACTGGAAGGACAGATCCTGAAGCTGAGACTCCAATACTTTGGCCATCTCATGAGAAGAAAATACTCCCTGTAAAAGACCCTGATGTTGGGAAAATGTGAAGGCAAGAGGAGAAGGGGACGACAGAGGACAAGATGGTTGGACATTGTCATCGAAGCTACCAACATGAATTTGACCTAACTATGGGAGGCAGTGGAAGACAGGATGGCCTGGCATGTTCGGGGTCACAAAGAGTCAGATATAGACTTAACAACTAAACAACAAATGGGATTCTAGTAACATCTGTAAGTGCCACTGCTTCCACACTTCCTAAAGAGTTTGGAAAATTATTTTTAAAATAGGTGTCAGCAACTTCCATGGGTCTGGGGCTAATTTTCTGAAAATTCAAAATTAAGTGTCAGTAATTATTTTATAAGATAACAATTCTTTACTATTTGTTGAGCAAAGATTTTTCTGGGTACAGCTGCTCCAGAAAATTCCTAGGACTAATCAATCTGTGAGCATTCACCCCACCAGCTTCCTCCTGCTTCCGGAGACTAGAGTCATCATGGCTATTCTGAGCTTGGGTGTGGCAGCTCTAAACAATGATATTCTTTGTGTCAAAACTAGTCTCCAAAGGTTTTCAGCCAGTATGTTCTCCTCCTTCTTACTCTTCTTTTCTCATTTAGTTCACTCCAAGCACTCATTTCTAATACTGTATTGGCGGAAATTCAAATACAAAGTGAAGGCAGGTAAAATTGATAATGTAGTCAGCCAAGAGGGCAGAATCAGAAACTTTTAATTCTTGAAAAATGGCCACAGCTGAGGATGTCATCAGCATTATACAGCATAAGTTTACGCTACTGAATTTCAGTCAATATTTACTTCTATTTCTCATTACACTGCTAAAGTAGTCTACCTTTCTCCATTTTAAGTGTTATGTGATTTCTTTGCCTTCCTTCTCTGGAGCTCTTTTTCCCTGGTCACTTTCTTGGCTCTAACAAGTTAATGACTTATTAATTAAGGGCATATGCACCTAAAGGATCATTAACTGTGAAACTCCACTATTTAGCACCCCATCCACACAGACTTTATTGCTGAAACAATGCTTTCCCAGACTACCTACGTACCTACCCAAGCACCGCTTGAGCTAAAATCCCTCTTTCATCCGAGGAGAAAAAGAGGCAAGTTTTCTTTCACATAGCCATAGGGCGTTCTGCTTAATAACAACCACACGCGTTAAATAACAATCCTCTTTACATGCTCAGGGACCCTTTGCCCATTGTTATGTCACACGTTTTAACTCTAGGCCATGTCAGTTTAATTATCTCGTTTCCCTCACCTACTCTAAGTAAAACACTTATCAGGCGAAAACCCTAGATCCCCACCCGTCCTCATAGTATAGAAAGAGGGGCCTCGGACTTCCGGGCAAAGTCCCCACCCTTTGTGTTCGCCGCCTTCCCTGCCCAAGGAAGGGTTGCTCTGTTTACCTTCTCCCTCCAGGGAGCTCTTCCTGTCGAAGCCGCAGCAACTAGAGCCACTTCCTGCTGGGTGGCGGGGAGGGGAGAAAAGCCCACGGAGCTATAAAAAGGAGGCACCGACGCAACCCCGCGTCTCCGTCCTTCCGCCCATACGTGGAGGAGGTACGGTGCGCGGCTTCATCGAGACGCCGCGAAATGGCCGCGCTACGGAAGGAGATGGTATCCTTGACAGTGAGGGCTCGCCCGGCCGCCTCAACAACTGTCTGAGAGCCTCGGTCCCCCTCAGGTGCGCCGAGAGGGGCCACGACTTCCTCGCGCCCCCGTCTCCTGCCCCCAGGCTCTATGCCTGCCTTTCCTGCGGAGCCCCTCTGGGTGCAGCTCCCTCCCTAGGACTGGGCTGTCAGCCCTCCCCTTGACAGCGTTTTTTACTCTTTGGACTACAATGCCCAACATCTTCCACCGTGCCCGTTGGGGGAGTCTGGGAGATGCAATCCAAAAATCCTATCTGCCAAAGATTTTATTTATTTATTTATTTATTTATTTATTTATTTATTTATTTATTTATTTATTTATTTATTTATTTATTTAATATCCCGCCTATCTAGTCGATAGACCACTCTAAGATGTAAGCTTTCCACTAAGGGAGACAGGCAGGATAAAATCAAATAAATGTGACTGGATGGTGACTCAGACCCTTCCGGGATCTTTGCTTCTGCAGGCGAGACATTCTGCCACCTGAGGTGGAGCAACAAAGGCCGCCCCTACCATCCAAAATAGGCAATATTCACCAAACGATTTTGGTACATGAAGGATAAAACCCCACCTGCAACATCTCTATCCCTCTCTGTCAGCAAAAGTGCAATAAACTACTAAGTTACTGTCTTTTCCTGACATCTATCTGACCAGGTGCCCAGCCCTACAAAATGGTAGAGCTAGTGTGATGTGGTGAATGAAGTGAAGAACTAGGGCAAATAAGATCTGGGTTCAAATCCCTACTCTATTGTGAAAACTCACTGGAGGCATGTGATGACAGTAAAACCATGCTGCAAATAACTCACATTCCTTGAAAAACCTATTGGCTACTCTAAGTCTGGTGCAACTTGACGGCACACAATATATAACCCTTGCAATAACAGCATTTTTATTATTCATCAAATGGGAGACGGCTGTTCCACATGGCTACCTCATACCTAATAAATGCCCCTACTCCAAAATAATTGTACAAAGTACAGAAAGGTAGACACACTCTGATAATTAAAAACAAAAACACAACGTGGATTGCAACTGCACCCTCGTGCACTGGAGGCAAGGTAACAAAACTCCCAGGGCTAACACAACCGCTAGGGAGCAAGCAGTGATCTGCACCGTTCTCTCCCCTTTGTCCACACTTTTACACACACCTCAAGCAGCCATAACTGGGAACAAATCACTTTTACTCACAATTGCAGTTGCTCACTCCTGTGCCACTAAACGCAGCGGGACTTGTTTCCGAGCAAATATAATGGAGCCATCATACTGCGAATTAAGCAGATCCTAATTGCATGCTAAGACCAACTCCTTTGCATGTGTTCTCGAACTCTTTTTCCCCAAGTCTCAACTAAAGCAGCAATGAATTTAAGTAGGAAAAAAACCCTGACAAATCATTGCTTATTCATAAATCTAGTTAATGCTCATAACAATACTGCCAAATGGATGGAACATCTTTGTAGGCATCACGTCTTTGATTTGCATATAAAGTTTGCCAAGCAGGGCAATTCATTACAGTGGTGCCCCGTATAGCGAGGTTAATCCGTTCCGGATTAACCCTCGCTATACGGAATCATTGCTAAACGGGTAGGGGAAAGGTATTGGAACGCATTAAACTTCGTTTAATGCATTCCAATACCTTCGTTACTTACCCGTTCAGCGAGGATTCCAGGTGCCGGCAGCCATTCTTTCTCCTTAAAAAGAACCCAAGGCAGCTTACATCCTTAAAAGACAATATTTAAAGCTGAAAACAAGGCAAAACCCAACTAAAAATTTTAATTTGTGAAGCATCTGATAGTTGCAATTCTTTTTTATTGGTGCCTTTAAAAGTAACATCATAATATCTACGCTACTCTTTAAGACAAAATTGTGTAATGATAAAAATATATAGTGTTTCTATCTCCAATTTTTTTAATGGAGCCATCAAAGCGCCTTTTGATTCCCGGCCTACACCTATTTTAAGGCAGGCTTGACATTGTCCTGTTGTAGTGTGGTGAGGAGGAGGGGGTTGTTGTCCTGTTAAGCAAGTGTTTGTAAATAGTAAGCTAGAATTTTTTTTTAATAAAGGGACACTCTCCTTCATTTGGAATTAAATCCAGTTTACTCTAGAGACTGCACTGGACTGTACATAGCAATGACAGATAGGCAACAGATCAAAGCCTACCTGAAAGGTGGGTCCAGGCAGGGATGAAAATGTCCTAGTTGGACGAGAGCAGAAGACAAATGATATGGCTATAAACTAGACTGACATTTCAAGAAACAAAGTAAGTGCCAGGTGATAACATACAAGGTGGAAGAAACAAAGCATAGGAAATGAGGAGGTGCAGCTAGAACAGACTTTTTCCATAGTTTTAAAAAAGTTCCTCCTATAGACTTAATCACATTCACAGATGTAGCGTACAAAAGACTGATACTACAGTATATTCTCTCTCTCTCTCTCTCTCTCTCTCTCTCTCTCTCTCTCGGTAACTTGGGGACTAAGTACCAATAAACTCAGAGGTACATCTTATTTCCGCATACACATGCATAAGCAGGATTGGACTGTGGGAACTCTGTGATCAACCAAGGAAGTTAGCGTGCTGGGGTTCCCTGCGGTCTGGGATCCTATTACCAAACGTTCCCTTTGCAAGGCAGGAAGAAACTACAGTACTGCAATGAAAATAAATAAAAACCTGCCTGCCACTCACCTGTCACGGTGGGTTCTCCACTGCAAAGAAGCCGCTGCTAAGTAGATGGGAGGAGAGGAAAAGGGTTAAAGGAGAAAGGAAGATCACAGGCAGATGAACTTCTACAGAGCGACCCCACCGACAATGGGCCAAGGGAGACCTCTCCCGACTCCCACGGCACTTCCCCCGGGCGGAGGTCACGTGCCCTTCCCCTTCTTGGCAAGCACCGGGGAAAGGGGCGGAAGCGCTTCCAGTGGCGACAGGACAGAAATCCAGGTGGGGCAGCCGTCTTAGAGCTGTGGAGATTTATGGCTGTGAACGACAACTCCCAGAATTCCCCAAGATAGGCTGTCTCTGGCTATGCTCCTTGAAGGATTCTGGGGCTTGTAGTCCAGAAACAAATCTCCACGGCTACCTCTCTTTGGAAGCCCCCTGTAAGCGATTTAGAGGCATCTAAATCTATTGGAAGCAATGGGTCTTGGAGTTTGTCACGCGGAATTAACATCGAACTGCCCGAAAAGGGCAGAAGAGAGAACAGCCTATTAAAAAGAGAGAAATCAGAGCTCGCTTCCTATTTTCACTTGAAAGGATCCACAGGCGGAGGCAGCGTTCAACAAAAAGAGAAGCGTGTCATCGCTTTATGGTGCCCAGTCCTATTTCTTTGCATTGGCTGCCCGGCATGTCCAGTCACAGAGGGAAAAAAAAGCAAACAGTCAAAACTATCCCGACCCTTTTTTTAAATTTTCGTGGCTATAAGCTACTGTATGTGAGATGTAAAAGCCTGGCAAGTCTTTTTGAATGAAAGGCATAAACTTTGCAGCTAAGCTGCTATAGACTGAAGAAAGGGGCAATGGAAATGGCTATTTAGCTAAATCGACTGTTAAAATGAATTGCTAAGTAGTAAACTACGTGTATTTTGCATAGGATTTTGTTGTTTTTAAGCTGTGTCCATTCCATTTAAGTTGCGTTGCTAAATGTTCCTGAGCAGCCCCGTTATCGGTCGTGCGTGTGGCTCTGGTGTTGTACGTTATTAAAGGTCCAGGTGCTGTGCCAGGAGGCCAGAAAAAATATAGGAAAATACTGTCTGGTTTTCTGTAGCACTCCCTTCTCATATTGGGATATTGCATCTTAATTCGTTTTGTTTAGTCATTAAGTTGTGTCCGACTCTTCGTGACCCCATCGACCAGAGCACGCCAGGCCCTCCTATCTTCCACTGCCTCCCGGAGTTGGGTCAAATTCAGGTTGGTCACTTTGATGACACTGTCCAACCATCTCGTCCTCTGTCGTCCCCTTCTCCTCTTGCCTTCACACTTTCCCAATATCAAGGTCTTTTCCAAGGAGTCTTCTCTTCTCATGAGATGCCCAAAGTTTTGGTGCCTCAGCTTCAGGATCTGTCCTTCCAGTGAGCACTCAGGGTTGATTTCCTTCCGATTTGTTCTCCTTGCAGTCCAGGGGACTCTCAAGAGCCTCCTCCAGCACCACAATTCAAAAGCATCAATTCTTCGGGGGTCAGCTTTCTTTATGGTCCAGCTCTCATTTCCATATATCACTACTGGAAAAACCATAGCTTTCACTATGCGGACCTTTGTCGGCAAGGTGATGTCTCTGCTTTTTAAGATGCTGTCTATGTTTGTCATTGCTTTCCTCCCAAGAAGCAGGCGTCTTTTAATTTCGTGGCTGCTGTCTCCATCTGCAGTGATCATGGAGGCCAAGAAAGTAAAATCTGTCACTGCCTCCATATCTTCCCCTTCTATTTCCCAGGAGGTGATGGGACCCTTTGATTGCACGTTAATACTTTACCATTTATGAATCATAAGAGAATAGCACTTAATCTGAGAAGTTTTAGTCAAAATGTTTCATAAATGCTCTTTAAATGTAACTTTCAAAAGTAACTCGGAAAAATGTGTTCTCCAAGACAGAACAAAGTGTGTCCAGAACACAGACAGAGTTCTAGCTCCTGTCCTCTGAAGATGCCGGCCACAGACTGGCAAAACGTTAGGAAGAAAAACCTCCAGAATCCGGCCAAACAGCTTGAAAAACCACAACCACTAACTCAGAAAAAGTTGGTTGTTATGCCAAAAGTAATAATTATTTAGTATAGTATTTTACTGTATCTTTGTAATTATTTGCCCTATTGCTCTTTACTCTAAAGATCCTATATGTATAACTGCATTACTTGTAATTAGTCACGTTCCAGTTACAGTATTTGAAACTGAATAAAGCAAGAATACCCAGAAGTTCCAAGTAGTTCAGGGAGATTTATTTCCAAGTAAGATTGCAAAGGATTGTAACATTATTCTACAAGTATTGTACAAAAGGGTGGCTGCAGTGTATTACAGGCTTGTCAATATGCAACATGCCAGTTAATAATATTGGCCTAGTTTGCAGAATGTCAGAATGTCTGAATGTCTCTAACGTTCTCAGTGGCATAAAATGAGAATATAATACGGGACTACATTGCAGGGCCATTGCATGCAACTTTAAGAGTAACATTTGCCTCACACTTTAAAATATCTGAAGTGGTCTGCAGTCCACGAAAACTGATGTCAAATAAAGCTGGATAGTTTTTAAGATGTGCGAGATGTTTTGTTGGTTTTGGTGCAATTGCTAACGCTGGAATTTCCCATACGAAATTAGACCAGTATAAATCGACGTCAGGCCTTATATCTTTTTTTTCCCCATCGGGACACAGCTGATGTCCTGTCCCAACCTCTCTTTAAGGGAGGGAAAACGGGTCGAAAGTAACTAAAAAGTGCCCTCTTAAGGGCGGGGCTTTCCCAGTCTATCACTTCGTACATCTATGCTCCTGGCTCTTAATTGGAAACTGACGGGACCGCGATGTATATTCACAGCGTTGGCGGCTGTAGAAAGAGCGGGAGGCGGGCCTGGTACAACCAAACATGCTGGGGTGGGGGGGGGCGGTGCTGGTTCAGAGGCGGTCACCAGGCTTGGTTGTGAGGGCAAATGGGGTTGGTCGGTGACTGAGGGAAGGGGGGGTTGTTGCTGGCTGGACGGAGTGGCGGTTGCCCGGGGCGAGCCGTCCTTCCCTTCCTGGTCCCTTGCCTCCCCGGTACGGCCCCCGGGGGGTGACCATGGGGCCCTAGCAGCGCTGGGACCATGTCGGAAGCGGCCCGGAGTCTCCTGCAGCGCTGGGGCGCCAGCTTCAGGAAAGGGACCGACTTCGACTCCTGGGGGCAGCTGGTGGAGGCGATCGGAGTGGCGGTTGCCCGGGGCGAGCCGTCCTTCCCTTCCTGGTCCCTTGCCTCCCCGGTACGGCCCCCGGGGGGTGACCATGGGGCCCTAGCAGCGCTGGGACCATGTCGGAAGCGGCCCGGAGTCTCCTGCAGCGCTGGGGCGCCAGCTTCAGGAAAGGGACCGACTTCGACTCCTGGGGGCAGCTGGTGGAGGCGATTGACGAGTATCAGAT